GGTGGTTTCAAACTGCCAACCATTGCAGCCCAATGCATAACTACCTCACCACCAGGGCTTCTAATGTCCTTAAAGTTACCTGTATTTGCAGGCTTGGTACTCTGTTCAGGTTTTGGAAATTCTGATTATCTTTTGGAAAAATGATTTGAGCTTTTGGTGTCATGGTGCTCTGGGATTACAATTCTAATGCTGGATTTCTTATTTAATCCCATATCACCATTAGAATGGGTTGGCTTTTCTTTGTCCTTTGATGCTAATTTATTTTGGTCTTCTAATTTCTTTTTCTGCCTGTTCAGTTCTACTGTTTCTTTTCCCATTCTAATTCGGTTGGCCTCATTCACGTCCAGGTTTTCAGTGGTGGTGTTTTCGTTTTGTTTTGTTGTTCCATGGTGGTGTTTTCCGGTGGTGGTGGTGGTGCTTTTTGTTTTGTTTTAAGCTGTTTATGTTTCAATTTCCTTTTTGAGTCATTTTGTTCAATTTTTGTGTGTGTGTAATTTCAGTTTTCTTTAAACATATTTGACACCAAACTTTGATAAATATCAATTCATTCTGTTAGTTTGGCCTCTATATAAGAGAAAATTTCCTTTATATTTTGCTTTTGTTTGCTCCTTTTTTGGGTGATTTTGTGTTTTACTTCTTTTGTTGTTGATCTTAGGTGTTTTAACTTTAAATTCCATATTCTGGTTTTTGTGGGAAATTTTTCTGATTGGAAGCTGTGTTAGGTTGAGTTCTCTAGAGAAGCAAAAACCCGAGACACTTGAGTGTGTATATAGAAAGACGGCTATCAAGAAATGGAGCGCACGGTTGAGACGTGGGTACATCCAGTCTGATTCAAGTCTAGGGGTCTGATGGAACATGAAGCCTTCTACTTCCTGTGGCTACAGGAGCTCACCAATAGGAAGCAGTGGAAGGAAGACCACCAGCTGGTGGATGCCTAGCTGGATGACTCTGAGATGGGCCGGCAGTCTGCTGATGGTTCCTGGGATTGGCAAGTGATATAACAGGGTTGAAAAACCAGACCCAGGATCCAAATCCACACACTGTCCATTTATACTAGGAGTAGGCCACCCCCTGAATGAAAAGTCCCTCAGTCATGTGATGGCTATGACCAGATTAATCAGGAGGTCACTTCTCCCCACCGCCGCTTCATAGAAGAGCCCATCATGGAGTTGACTACTATGCTGGATCAAATCATGGGAGAATACTGGCCCGTCCAAGTTGACATAATCCCGAATTATCAAAGCACCCGAGTGGCCAACTGTTCACTGAGACTGGAGCGCACACCCAACAGCCACTCTGATAGAAAGATTTGACAGCCCAACTCCACAAGACTCACAATCTTGAAAATCTCGTGGGCCAGGGGCACTTGACCTTACAGCATCTGTAAGTCAGAACTGACGCAGAGGTGGTGAGTCTTGTAACATACCTTGAGAATCACTAGAGAGTCTTCTAGGTTTTTTAAAGCCGATTCAGGAGTTCAAGTGGTGAATGCTTGATCTACATGATTCAATATGCACGCAGAGGAAGGGTGTAGTCTAACTGGTTACAGATGCTGACCTGAGTGGTGGGGCTCCACTTTCTTGGAGGGAAGGTGGGTGGTTCTGTCTTTCTCTCATGGGCACCCCTGCACAGGCTCTTCCATGATGTCCGCGTATGGGCAGGGAGCTCGTAGTTACCTTCTGGATTGCACATTTATCCACAGTACACCCCTCACCCTGCTCCCTTTGCAGTTCTCCTCCCTGGCCTGGTGCCCATCCACCTCAGGCCTCAGTCAAATTCAACAGCATCCTTTCAGAGCGGGCCATGATCTCTCTTTGCACCCTACTCCCAACTGTGGGGTGTTCAAACTCCCATGGCCACTTTGCAATGCCTTAAAAATTGGGCTGTCATCTCCCTCAGATTAGCTCCCTTTCTGAATTCCAAGTGTGGAGTACTGCCCAACCCGGTCCCTAATGGCTGCGATGAGTGTATGCGCTCGATGTGAGTGGGTAGGTTATGTGCTCGATGTTAGTGGGTAGGTTCTCCCTACTTCTAGGAGGCCATCTCTTCACCTCCTCTTCCCGGCTCCTGGACTTACCCCAACTCTCTAACAACTCATCCGCCACCTGGAATCGTGGTATCTGATTCTGCTCTTGTTTTTATTCATTGTTCAGTGGGTAAGGTGCTGGGGACGGGAATGAGAGAGTCCACTCCCCTTCCCATCTTACTACATACTCTCCTTCTGAATTTTGCTGTTTAGAACATAAAGGCGTAAGGGTGGTATGGGAGTGGTTGGCATGAATAAACTGAGTTAGAGTTGTGAGCTTGTCCAGGCTTGGTACTCCCTCACAGTATAATCAAACAAAACATTTAACCTGTGCCTGCAGTTTATTGGCACCACAAATAAAGATCAACTTCACAAATGGTTCACGCATGTGCTTGGTACTCGGTACAGCTTCAGTTTCCTCATCTGACAAATGCGAATAGGACTAAGACATATCTGATCACATAAGATAGCAAATACCTGCCACAGAGTAAATGCTCAATAATTAACCCTAGATTGTACTAGACGTTGGATAAAAATATCTAACTCTAGAAATATCTATGGGTTGGGTAAGATGAGTATTCAAGACATGATAATCACTTTCTCCATTTCTGCTGTGATGGAAGGGGACTGGGACACAACCTGGTTAACTGGGACATGCCTATGCTACAGTGGAAGTCTTGGGGTTGAGCTGCCGCTGCTGCTTTCCAAAGAACAGCTAGTTGTAGAAACACAAATAGCTTTAAGACACAGGTTATTTTAATGGAATTGACTTTCAGATTCTCAATTTGCAAATGAAGTCTTTTCCCTAAAACATAAAAGCAGAAATCTTCTCTGAGGAAAATAATCAGGGGTCTAAGATGTCTGACTTTTAAAGAAAAGCTTGGTCATGGGTTTTGTTCATAAATTATGTTGGGTTTCACATAGTGATAGCAAATATTTTATTGAATACATTTAAAAGAGCTACCCAGCAATTTTATTTTTAAACACCAGTATTCAAAATATCCTCAAAACTCTCTTTTGGAAATGTTAAGACACTTAAAAAGTTTTCATTGTCAATAAAAGAAAAAGTTTTCATTGTCAACAAAAAATATATATTCGAAAAAAATATATATTCGGAAAAAATATATATGCGAAGAGACATTTCTCGATACTGAATAAAGGAGATGGTGGGCAAAATCTTAGCATCTGCCAGATAAAACCATGCCAAAATGTCATTAACTTCTAATCGCTGGATGCCGAGATTCTAAGTCAGGCTGTCTGTATTCAGAGGCCGGGGCTCTTTCTAGGGGACATGGGTGGCCTCCTCAGAGAGCCTTTGAAGAATGGTGTGGGATTTGAGCAGCGTTTGGGGAACGGACAGCAGGACACAGCAAGGACAGGATGTGAGAAAAGAGACTGAAGAGGCAGGGCCAGCAGCATGTGGTGCTCTGCAGGAGCGGGAAAGCAGGTGTGCCTGATGGGAAACTGGAAAGGGAAAGGACATGGATTTTCAGGTCAGAAGAAGCATGAGGTCGGGTTCAGGATTTACCACTCTTTAACAGAATCTCTTTAAAGATGTCTTCCTTTCAGCTTTGGAGAGCAAGCACACCAAACTCAAGCTAAAGCCAGAGGAGAGCGGTCTTCCCCACAGGGTCCCAGACTGTCCATCTTTACGGAAACAGACTGCCACCTCACCTTTCTCCCGTACATCAGCGGATGTGCTCAAACTGCCAACATACTGGTTCGGGGTCTAACGCTTTAACCACTGAGCCACTAGGGATCCTTAAAGATGAAGTGAAAGGATAAAAAAGAAAGCGCTTTTTAACTTATAAAGTGATAACGCATGTCAGATCGCTCTCTATTGGGCACCAATGGAAGTGCAGCAATTTACACGATGGTTAAAGGAACGGGTTATGGAACCAACAGACTAGGCTGAGACAAAAGCAGCCATTTTCTTCTGGTGCCCACTAGCCTACATGTGCATAAAGTAACAACAGAGGTGCCCCACTGCACAGTGTTCATGAAGACTAAGGCAGGCAAAAGAGCTTAGAAAGCAGTGATCTCAAGAGGCAGCTATTTGATTGCTGCCCTATTGGTGGCTGTGTTCTCGTAAATGTATTCAATAGAGTATCTGTTATCATTACTCTGTGATTCTCAATATCAAGTGGAGAGCAAGAGACAACTGGCCACAAGGAAGTACATGTTGAATTAACAGTCTTTAGAAGAAAGTTACAGAAGCGGCAGCTAAATCTGAGGATTTTAATCATAAAAGCCCCTAAAACTTGCTCCTTGGTTTTACAACGAAAGCATGTGAAAATCGTCTAGTGGAGCTTTATAAGCTGTCCCAACTAACAAAGGAACATGCAAATATGTGTATATTGTCTGGGTTCAAAGTCCCAAAAGAATAGATAGTTCTACAAAGACTATCTTACCGTCAGAAGACTTATATGCAGTTCATAAAATAACAGGAATCTGTTCAAGATTTTGCCACATGGCAGAAACATGGTGAATCTTACGTAAAGTAATTTTCACACTGAAGCACCAGAAGACCTTATAAAACAGCCTCCCTACTACGATCAAACCAAGCATAGAGTGGCAGTGTGTGTGTGTGTGTATGCACAATAGAAAATTGATGTTCTACTCCAATTCCTTACTTTTAAAAACATGTCAAGGACAAAAGGTTGCATGGATTTTCAAATATTATTTTAGAAGTTTTACCCTTCATAAGTTTTGGCTAGAATCATGACAAAATATTAAGTCAGAAAGCTCAGACAAGTGTTATTTTAAGGATAAAATCTATAAAAAAAACATGCGTTAACATTTCAAAGCAGATTTGGATAACTATAGACAAAAAGCAGTGAGTTATACAGATTATACTAACTTCATTTCTACATTGTAGGCGAGCTATAATTTAGAATATGTCCAGGATATTTTAAGATTTTTCTGGTTATGTTCCATAAAGTAATCAATAGGTATTAGAAATGTAAAAACTTACATGTGTGCCTGGCCAGTGAGTAGTTGGATCCACCGCTAGTCAAACCGAATCCCTCGGGGATCTGACTAGAGCTTCGAGGTCTGGTCAACAGTTTAGGAGGTTCAATTTCAGCACCGAATTCAGCTCCTATCACTCCCAGTAAAACTATAGCGGTAGCTTGCTTCCGTCTCTCCTCATACGATGTGGACATTTTTTTCATCTGTGGAGCGCTTGACAGGCAAGCTGAAAACATAAGAATGTAAATTAGAAGACTATCGAGACAAAAAGGCATATAGTTAGAAACACATCCAAGATTCATCATTCTAGAAAGAAGCTTCAACAAACGGTGCTGGGTCGACTGGTTATCCAATTGCAGAAGAGATAAATTGGACCTCCACATCACCCTATGCACAAAAACGGATTTAAACTGAACTACAGATCTATAACTTGCATATAGATCTCTTAGAAGATCTATAGATCTTCTAAGTTATAGCTTGCTTAGAAGAAAACAGGTATAAATCTCATAACCTTAGGTTAGGCAATGATTTCTTAAACAGGATGCCAAAAACATTACCAACATAAAAATGCACAAATTGGTTTTCACCAATATTAAAAACCTTTGTGCTTTAAACCACAAGATCAAGAAAATAAGAAGACAACCTAAGGTGAAATATTGTCCATCACATAACTAAGAAATGACTATATCAGGAATATATAAAGAACACTTACAACCCAGTAATAATTCCTAAAATTCTTACATTAAAAAGTAGGCATGTTTTGAATACACATTTCTTCAAAGATAAATGAACAGCCTATAAGCAAATGAAAAGATCCTCAACATTATTAGTCATTAGGGAAATGCAAATACATTCACTTCACATGCCTTAGAATGACGGAAATAAAAAGGCAGAACGTAGCGAGTGGTACTGAAGACGGAGAGAAAGGGGAACATTCATTGCTGGCAGGAATGTACAATGATGCAGTTACTCTGGAAAACAGATGATCAAGACATTGTACTCCCAGGTGGAATGCCCACACATAAAACTTATACTTGAATGTTCATGGTATTTTCTTTAATAGCCAAAACACCCAACTCAAATGTCTAATTCATGAATAAACGAATGTGGTACTTCTACACAATGGGTAATTATCCAAGCCATAAAAGAAAGAAACTGTTACTACAATGTTACAATATGGATGACCTCAAACACACTAATGTTTATAAGACTCAACATTTCTCACTAACCTATTTTCCTTTTGAAATTTTAATAAGCATTCTATTTATGTTCCTTATAACCATTACTGGTGTTTAGAAGAAAAGTGTTTCAAATTAATTCTACCAATGGGCAGTGCCAGCAAGTTGAATGGTAGTGAGTGTATCATGCGTTTCATCTACACAGGACCATGCTGAGCCATCTTAGATGATAAAACCACACCTCATTTTACTATTGATTTTGAAGAACCGTTTACATGGGTCACTGGCACTGAATAATGTCTATTTCATCACAGCTCCCTGTTTCACGTTACTTGGACCTGGCTCGACTTTTATTCATTCCACACCTTGTGACCTCCTTGTTAGAAATGCTTGGTATTCTACAGTAACAATCTGGTTGTTGCCCCACTCTCAGATCCCCTAGAATTTGAGTTATTATCCACCGTGGTCAGGCCTGAGAGAGTCAACCTGCCCAGTCCATTTCCTAATATGTGCACTGGGGCAGGTCTGCTCTGTACCCCGTTGGGTATGTCTTTGTACATGGTGGGTCTGCTTATTTAGAGGAAAAGCCCAAGGAGTCACCCTATATAGTTGGACCTCACCTTGTACAGATGGTTGGACTATATTCGTCTAATGCACCTTAGGCACTTGAAGTTTCTGTGAGTATCCATGCATACCATGGCAGCTTACTATGAAATGGTGACTTGAAATTAATCTCTCTGCAGAAAAGAGAATTTGTACTCTCAGGTAATTCCATTGCTGATAGATCGGAGTGGGACTAGTCATTTCTTTGAACAGTTGTTCCTACTTACAATATATTACAATTAGAAAAACTATTCATACTGTATCTGCCACCAAGCCCCAATAATATTGCTGATGGCAAGGTAGCTTAACAGAAGCCCTTAAATCCCTTTGTTTAAAATAATAGTCCTTGGTTTCTTCTTCCAGCTCAACCGGGAGCGCGTTCTGCTCATACCGCTTGCTGTGCACAGGAAAGTACAATAATACATTATTTTTAATACTTTTAGCTGGTCACCCCATAGTATCAGAGATATGAAATGTACTTTCTTCTACGAGCTTCCTCCTCCTTTTCATCAGGGTAACCACAGAGCTTCTACATGTAGTACGCATTATGCTTACTGCCACAGCCAACCCTCAAGGCATCTAGGCTGCAATGAATCATATGTATATGGAAAAAAACATTTTGCTAAGGAGAATTAAATTTAGTTCTGACACTGAACAGTTTTGGAACGCCAACCTGTTCCTCTAACATGATGCTGTTTGCAACACTCTACCTGGTGCTGAAGAGAAGTCTGAGCGACAACAGGTGAACACCAGATGGTGGCAGGCCATCTCTAATAAGACCTGCCATGTTGACCTTAAGAGTTCAAATTGACAGTCTTGTTGCGCTGAAATAAGAAATCCTTGCAGAACATGGACTGACTCCTGTGAGGGCGGCTGATCTGCACCCCTAGCCGTGGCTTGATCAAAAGGGCAGAAGGAGTAAGCAAAGCTCAAAACCGAGGCAGTTGGCATGACTCAAATGCCTTCCCCAAAGATAAACTGAACTCCATTTAAGAACTACATTTACTCCATTTTATTCCATGTTCTAACTACAGTTTAGCCTTAAAAAAAAATCCCTTGTTCTTACTACTCTAAGACAATTTGATTTCTTATAATGTTTAACTGGTGTGGTCCTAAAAGGAGAAAGAGTCAGGATTTTAGCTTATGTGAGAAACTGTTTGATAGAAGATGTTTGTTAGCAGTGTTTGTGTAATTTGTTCCAAGAAGAGTTTCTTGCATGATCAAGAAATTCCTGAAGATGAGAAAATAGAAATGATAGTGTAAAGCACTGTCATGTAGCCCCTTAATGCTTGTGAGCATGTACCTCCAAAAACTGTTATTCCTCTTAAAATCTATAATACGAACGTGCCCTCCCTGGGTGCTAGTGGGTCTCCTGATCCACAAATCTCTCTTCCAATACAATGCCTTCCTATCACTTCTAACAGAAGGCTGGTGCTTCACTGTGATAGAGCCAACCGTGATTCTGTGGGAGAAAGAGGAGGCAATCCGCTTATATAAATATTATATTCTAAGTAATTTGATGGGGCAGTTTTATGCTATAGAATTGCTGAGTTGGAAATGGTTGACAGCAATGGGTACTGATAACTATTCCAGATATATAAATAGCCATTTTCATCCTCTCTCTTAATAAAGCTTAAGTTTTATTATGGGTAGGCAAGATCCTAAATTTTTTTTAGAAAATGATGTCATAGTATAATAGTTCCTAGCTATAAGCTTTGTTAATGGCATTATTTTAAGTAAAGCTTGTCTCAGGAAGCTGCCCATGGGTTCAGCTTAAAACGTATTTTTTATTCCATTATCGCCCCACAGACATGTCTTTTGAGCCCTATTGTCTCTTTACTTTTTTATTTGTACATTTTATCAATCACAGCTATGTATTTGACCTGAAAGTATTACAAGGTAAACTTCTGGAATCATCATGATTAGAAGTCAGCTTTCTCCTCTTTCTAATATTAATCCATAAGCTTTTCTGGACTCTTGGTTCTCTGTTCTATATATTGATTAGATCAACAAAACAGCTGGCCCTCAGAGCTCAGAATACCAACTCCCATATATACTCGAGCATAAGCTGACCCGAATATCAGCCGTGGCACCTAATTTTACCACAAAAACTGCATTAAAAATGGGCTGAAAAACCCGGCTTATACATGAGTATGTACCTCTGAAAACACCTCTGAATTCCTGTGTTTTGTTTTACTATGTTTCTTGGCTTTGTTAATGTTGTTTTATCATTCTATATAACTAATGGCAGAAGAATGACAAGTGACCAGCAGAGGCTAAAACGACACCACACAATGAGAGGCCTTTTAAGATGTGCTTAAATTTCAACTTTAAGTTTGGTTTATGGAAAGAAAGAAAAAAGACACTGAATAAGTTGGCATAAGATGGTGACATCAGACTCATTCACTGCTAGAATTCATTCTAAGCAGTGGTATGGGAGGGGGAGAAGCCCTGGTGGCATAGTGTTGACTCGGGCTGTGATCCGCAAGGTCAGCAGTTCGAAACTACCAGCCTCTCGTTGGGAGAAAGACAGGGTTTTCTACTCCTGCTAACAGTTATGCTCCGGAAACTGACAAGCCAGTCCTATCTTGTCCTACAGGCTTGCTAAGAGTCGGCATTGACCCGACGGCAGTGAGATGGAAGATGGATTAGGAGATACAACAACTGACAATGTGCAAGGGATCTGGTAGGAAATACTAAGTACAAATGGTGGTGGTAGCAGTTCATTCTGTCAGCCACTCAGTGGTTCACCATGTAAGAACTGAAGGTGTCGTGTATGCCTGGCATCGTGATGCTATTGTTAGGTGCCATTGAAAGTTGATTCTGACTCATAGTGACCTCTATATCCACTAAAATGAGACAAAGCCCAGTCCTATGCCATCCTCACCATTGTACTTATGTTTGAGCCCATTGGTGCAAACACTGTGTCAATATGGCCTGTATGCTTTTTTTCCCCTGCATTACATTTAATATTAATTGGGGTGAGAAAAGCACTGCCCTCACAGATCTTACAGGCTATTAAAAAGGAATCAGAAATGGGTAGAGTATAGAATCAATGAGAACTTTCTGGATAGTATATTTAAGACCACTAAACATGATCAAACTTATTAGTTATACTACGATTGACAATCACAACTCCAGCGCCCCCCTCCCCGCCCCCTCCCCCAGGAGTACCCTGAGAGAACGGCCTGCTATCTGCTTCCATACAGATTAAAGTCAAGGAGACCCTGCGGGACAGTTCGACTCTAACATACTGGGCACCATGAGTCAGAATCAACTCATGGAAGTGTGTTGGGAGATGTGACAGGAACTCCACAGCTAAGAGAAAAGCAGCGGAAATGAGACTCATGTTTTCATTTTTACCCTGAGAACAAGGCGAGGATAATAGAGCTGGGCTCTAGGCAGTGGACTGTCTAAAAAACCACTGAGCACAGGGGACAGGTAG